TTTTAAATTGCTATTTTGAATTAATGAATTGTATTTAATTAAAATTTGGAAGTAATTTTTAAGATTGTTTTTTAAAATAAATATTTATGTTTGAAATTAAATTTTAGATGTTTATAACGTTATTGTTATATTTTATTTGCAGTGATGTACGTGGTACATTCAGTACAGGTGCTATATTAGTAAATGTATTGATATGAAAACGTTTTAAACACATCCCCTTCAAACCATTGGTCTGTCGGTAGCTACACTTTTTTTCAATAATTGTATAACTGTTCAAAACATTTCTAGAAACTCCCATAGCATCCTTTGCAGTTGCTTTCACAGCAACTTCATTGTGGAAATATTGCACATTTAACAGTGCCTTTTGGTTTGATTAAAAGGTGAAAATCATAAGGTGCAAGATTAGGCAAATAGGAAGTGTGTAAAGCAATAAAATACTTTCTTACTGGAACTATAAATAAAAATCAAAACCTTTAAACAATCCAGAAAATCGTTTTTTAATATCTTAAAAACGCTTTTGAAGGTATGAAAAATAGGAATTTTTTTTTTTAATATTTCTGTGAACCTGTTTGTCGTACATAAGTCTTATCAAACATTTTTTACAATCTTAATTGAGGGTTTTAAAGTTCAGAGAAAAACACCAACAATTGGTTTACAATATTTATAATTAAAATTAACTTTTACTTAACAAACTATGATACTACAGTGTGTTTTTTACATATCACAATAGAATTATAATACAGGTAATCCCCGTATAACAAGGCACTTCTATAGCATGGATTCACTCTAACACGCTTTGGGAATTGGGTAAAACCCTCGTACAACATGAAATGTAATAAAGGGTGCATTCTTTTATATGTCTGCGTAACTCTGCGCGAGCATTCTAATTGTTTTTGTGACTACTTTGAATGCTTTCTCAACAAATAATCCATTTAATGGTTAAATTTTACAATTGGGACCCTTCTTTTGCCTCTAAAAGCTTATTTTAGAATTATAGATTCCTCCATCACGATACTATCGATAGTGCGAGCGCCGCCATCTTTCTTTCACCATCGTTCCTAGATGCCTACAAACAGCAGTGCACTCCCATTGCAGAGCGATCGCTATTAACAAACACACCCAAAAACTGTTACCACTTGATGATGCTCATGCTGAGATCATCAAATAGGATGAATAATCCTCTGGTAAAATATTTACTTAAATAATAAATAAGTATTTTACCTATGGAAAAAATGAATAATAAATTTGATTTAAATAAGGATTTAACAGCGTGTTTTTTAATTTTTGGAACCTAACCCCGTTTTCGCACTAGATCTTTGGTTTGTATAACACAGATTTGCATAACACGGCAATTTTTTGGAACGTAACTCCCATGTTATACAGGGGTTACCTGTAGTTTATAATAGGAATTTATTAGTCATAATTCTATTGTAATATGTAGAAAACACTCTAGTATTGTAGTTTAAGAGTTAAATATAAACATTGTAAACCAATTGTTGGTGCTCTTGATTTCACTTTAAAACCCTTAATAAAGAATAATAACTGAAGAGGTATTATAATTAAAAAACCTTGAAATGCATTTTATCAAAGTAAATTTTTTGATGTATATTAATTTTATAATAAAAAGTTGTGAAATCGCATAACTGTGGCTATAAATTAAGTGTGATAAACTCTTAATAATAATAAATATTGATCTATATTTTATTAATTTACAAAATATAACATTAATAGGGTAGAAAACTTTAAAATTGAAAATCTGTTGTAGACAGCAATGGTCGTAAACACACGTAATGACAAATAAGGAAACCTTACTCTGAGATGAATAATAAATCTGGATGTTATATTTTTATAAGATATAGTTTAGTGGGAAGTTTAAGAAAGCAATCGCATTACAGTTTCACTTACGTTCAAGAAATATAGTAACTATACGTGCAAATCAAATGATATTTGAGTAGAATTCAAAGATCAGTTTGCAATTCAGAAATAGCAGTAAATTTGGAAATTTTTGTACTACCAGTTGACTCCCCTATAATACTATTCATTATTCCGTTTTATATGAATTCCATGTTGTACGAGTCACTTAGATTTTACAAATACGTGTGC